AGAGAATAAGAGCACAGCCTACACACTTACTAGCTCTCCTCCGGCGATCGACTCAACAGTGGACCCCGGTAGTTGGGGAAGGTGGGGGAAGGGTGGCCTCTTCGTTCCGCTGGCGCCTACCTTCGGTCGTCCCTCTTTTGTCCGTCTTTTTTAGTTACCCGCAGAGAAAAACTACGATACTGTACACGACGTTACAATCAGCAGCAGCATCGTACTGGCATCACTATCCTAAAATTTTATAACTCTTTCATCACTCACTCGTTAGTATCTTCCAGTTCCTTGCCCGACCGCCCGTTAGTCAGCAGTGTCCCTCTGTCCATCTCAACGCGTTCGTTGGGTGAAGCGTTCGGCCTTTAATTGACGGATCAGTTAGCGGACATCGTCCTCTGGCCTTCATTTGCCCAGAACCAATCACAAATTCTTATGCGATCTCCGCCGTGTTCTCGAAGAGCCGACCAAGTTACTGTACATAGTCTAGCCTTAACTTGCATGTACAGGCAGTCCCGTATGAAGCGAAATCGTCTAGACGCAGTGGAGTGTGCAACAGCAGCAGTGGGGGCAGACGCCGCGCTTAGCAAGATGCCGCTTCCCACACGGATTCTATTGTTGTACACCGTACACTTTCAGCTACTGAATGGCTCTCACCGAAAGAGCTGTTCAGATGCACTATTTGCGCTGCACTGTACAGCAGGCCAGTAAAATCCATCCCCCATGACGCGTTGTATTGAGCTCTTTTTTAACGAAGCCCTATCTTTTGCCCGTGTTTTCTATCACCGCCATTATTCCTTCTGTCATCACGAACAGTACCGTCAGCATCAATTCACGGGGCTTGAAAAGTGCACCTCAATCATGTGATTTTACAACATTATATACAGCTTTTGAGAATGGCGAGAACCGCGAGTTTTGCCCAAACCAACGACCACATGACGAATACCACAGGCTAACCTACTATAGGTGCACTATGACCGCAACCGGCTCACTAGATGCACGTGGTCTTCGGCCATCCAGTGGCCTCCTGTTCGCGTCCGTAAGTCAGGCCAAATCTATTTCGGTCTTTGTCCTCATCCAGTTTCCTTTACTGCTAATCCTCCTGCTGCTGCGGTTGTCTCGCGACCGAGGCCTGTTTGGGCGTCATAGCAGAGACAAAAACAACTAATGGACTTCGCAAGCTTCCTGAGGTGGTTGGTGGAGAATGGTCCGTATCTCGATTTCAGACGTGACACGGCCAGTCCCATAAACGTTCTACAATGTACGCCCGATATAGACTGCTGCTGCATCCTTCAACTATAACCACTCCTATGGGTACAACTATACGCTATTATATTCCGTATGAAAACTTGTGCTATACGTGTTTTCCTGAGACATCTTTGTGCACCCGTCTTGGGCAAATACATTACCATGAACCCCATGTATATCCACGTAAACACACTTTACGGATTGTATTTGCATTGAGCAAATCACACACATGTATGTATATATATATATATACATATTGGCTGAAAAAAGAACGACTGTCATATTATGACGCTCGTTATTAGATTACTTGCTCGTCCTAGCGTTTGTTAAGCTCGATGAAGTTTTTGTTTCCTGAACGTAGTTTTTCGAAATTTCGTTTTAACTTGATTGCTTGTAGGTTTTGACGGTTTCTGAAGTTTCTGCGCAAAAACTTGCTGAACAGTAAGCTTCCCTTATGTTTGTCGTTCAATGCTAAATATCGTGGTAGAATTTGATTGGAGTCGGCACGCTCGACGACATCGTATAGTGCCAAGGACAACATTTATAAGATTTAGTTTGTCCAAAGTGTAGTGACTGAATCACTTCGCACCGCGTACGCTTTCCAAATTTTGTCTTTCGGAAGTTTCACGGAGAGGTAGCCACAATGGTGACAAAAGTACGCATATAGTGACGGGTTGGTTTGTTTCCTCGGTTCTGTTGTATCGGTGAAGATGTCTTCTTATAACCCCTTACTGCGCTGATTCGCTCCCTGGCCATCCGGTCAGCTAATACTGGACGCTCTTTGTGGGGAATACACATCTTATACATGACCTACAGTCGTCAGCTGTCTACGAAAGCAAATGGAGCAGCCACTCAACACCAAGGGTCATTACGACGCTCGGGAGTTAACAAACAAGCAACTGCCTCCTGAATTGTATTGCCATGTCCTTAACCCCGTTCCCAGTTCTCTCTCTTACCGATTTTTTGTCACTTGTCGAATCCCACCGTGCATAAGCCACACGACAACGTGTCTCCATAGCGGAACCGCAGTACATAAAGGCAGGCCAAAAGACGTTGCGACGTGTGCGCCTGCGGCTTATTTTGTTTAGCTGTAGGCCTGTCGGATAAGCTGACAAGCAGGCAGGCCATACTCGGCATGCTGTACTGAAGTTACTTAAACTCTCTTTCCTAATTCGTTTCGCTTGGCCACCTTCGTTTCCTTGGCTTCTGTCTGTCCTTCTCTAGAGGCATCCAAAGCACCGTCGCTAGCAGTGCCCGCCATCTCAAAATAACTCGTTCCACCTCGGCCTTCTTCGCCCCCGCCTACAGTTTCACCGAAGACCGAATATGACGTAAGGAAAGAGAATCAAGGCCATGTTAATTTAGTCGTGTGGTAATGCGAGCCGGAATAAAGTTGTCTAAGGCCAGCAGCGTCAATGCCAAGGCCTCTGGGCCAGATCGCTACGAATTATGTATTTCCTCTTTCGCCTGTAAATGAAGTATGGTTCAATACAATCTATCCAACACGACAATTCGTCTAGAGCCGCACAATGGCAGGTAGGTTCGGCTGGCCTATTCAAGCGTTCGCTAACTGGTCTGCACGTTGTCCTTCCAAAGGATTGGCTCACAAGGAGAACTATTATAGATGCGATCGTAAGCAAAACCAATCTCTATTGAGTTAGATGGGTCTATTCGCAGTTGTAGTAGTGGAGGCAAACGCATGCGTGGAGAAACACCCTTCTGCTAAAATTTTTCAACTAGCACTCATCAACCTACTGTCCTTCGAGGCTATTCGCCGGTGTAGTCGCTGCAAATGCAGTCTTTATCTGTAGATCTCTTCAAATTTTTTCTCCAGCTTCTGGCAGCATGCGGGCACGATGGGGGTTATGGCCAATGATCAAGTCGGGCGCACAACTCACGAAGCTGGCGCTCCTCTCGTAACTAACACTTGACTGGCAGCCTCTGCCGTTAGTCCAATGGTAAGCGCTCGCTCACTTGCTTGCATAGCGCATTCTGTTAACGTCGGCCAAATAAGGGCTCGGACCCTTCATAAGCATAAGCCTATCACACGAAACGGCTACGGCTGGCACAGTGGGTACTCACCACCACCAGCCACTGCTACCGTTCCTAGAGCTGCTTCTACTGTGAGTGGTGAGCTCAGTTGCCTAACTTCTCGGCCCAACGGCTGGCTCCCTGCTGAGTCTATCTGCAACTCTTATTGATGCATATAGCTGTCTCGCAGCTAGCCGCCGCCATCGCCAGCCGCTGCATGCCGTGAGAGACGCAACGCTGCTAGATATCATAGACAGTCGCTGCCGTCGATGAGAGCGTCTCTAGAAACCGTGGTAGAGTAACGTGAGTGAGCGAGTTAGGGGTCAGGGATTCGAGGAGAATGGGAGTGAAAGGGGCGAACGAGCGTCACTGCCCAGATGACTGGCCAGGAACAGACAGGAGTGAAGGTTGTGGAAGATCTGTAGGAGTAAGAGGAAGGGAAGGTAAGTCGGAGGGAAACCAGGGTAAAAAGTGCGTGAGGTCGTTTATAACATTCGCCTTTCACCGTTACCGCTGACGCCGGTTTGCTGCTAGTTTGCCTCTGCTACTACTACCAGCACTGCCAGGGCAGCCGTTGTCAGTGGCCAGTAGCAGCTTTATAACATTTGCATAGGACTCTACTATGTTGGTCAGTGTTGTGGGTCACCTCGGCTCGTTCATTGCCGAGAAAAAGAGGAAGACGAAGTGTCGAGAGAGCAGAAAGCAACGAGCAGCAAAGAATGGAATAGCCAATGCAAAAGAGTCGAATAGCGATAGAAACGCAATAGACCCGAGCAGAGAGAAGGCCTCAATCCCTGTACTGCTCTGCGTGAAGATAACCAAAAGTAGTAAAACGTGGAAAAGGAACAGCGACGCTAACCGCCGGAGAAGACCCACTCTGTCGGATTTTTTGGTGCGAATACAAAGTTGGCTGCCGAGTTGCCACGGCTTCCTTTCGTAGACGCTGCTTCCTGCTAAAAAATACATGCGAGCACGTTACCGTTTTGATAAACGCGCGGTTAGTTACCAACTCGTCCGCCTAAGACCCCCTTGGAAAGACCAGAGGTGGAACGAAAAGATGAAGCCACGAAAAATACAAAACAACCCACATGCTAACGTTGTTGATCATAATGGCTTAGTAGGCTATATAAACTTGCTATTTAAGTACCTAGAGCAGTTGGTCATTGTAAACAATCACTATCCTTTTCTTTTCCTTAATATATTTATTTTGCTGATATGTGTGCCTGATGATGAATTTTCGTTTTGGCATAAAATATTCGCGAAAAATTTCTACAAGACACGCTTAGATAGTATTTTTTAATTTTGTTCCTTGAGCAAAAGAGTGTCTCAATATATTATATATTGAGTTGTCTCGGTCGAACTGGTCCGCAATTCCAAGAATAAAGTCAATGCATTGGCCCAGGTCGATCACGAAGTGTTGAAGCTAAATCAGCTATTGTCTTATATTATAGAAGTCTACTGTGATATTTACATATATATTAGTCCAAGCCTCGAGCGAAGTTAAATCTTTATTCTTACGTGAGATAGTGACATGCAGCATTGCATGAATCACTCTCCATTGGCTGTTGTTATATCTAACTATAACGAAAAAATTTACCCAGCACACGAGGATGATGTAAGTCTTTAGATTCGCATAGAGAACACCTACTTCAATAGCTTTCCCCTAAAATTACCCCAGAAAACATTACAATAACACAGATACGTAACTTCGTCCATTCCTTGTATCCACCTACCTCGTACATTAAGATGTGCGAACCTCGATCGGATCCCCTTGATGCCATCCATCGCTCCAACCTGACACTGAAAGTCCGCATCGTCCTCGAGCGTCACCCCGCGAATGTGCAGTGTATAATCCCCTTCCTCATCATTACCGACCATCGCATAGCGAGAGAAGCCTGATAAGTTGCGATCGATACCGAGCCCGAACCCATCGCGCGTCCACTGTAGAGTGCCCACCTTGTTCTCGACACGGCATGCGAGTACGACGTCCTCACCAATCGTGGCAACCTTTGATTGCGGCTCAATGGCAAACCGCTGAGGGGGTCGGTTACCCCGCCGATTGCTCCCAGACGACGACCATTTACCTGCAATAGCCGGAAGGAAGAGCGCAAAATGATGAGTACAATAACGGGCGGGAAAAAGAGGCAAAAATAGAAAATTACAACCGGACGAATTGGGGGACATTTGGCCGGGGTAGAAAAGAGACAATGAGATTAAGAGGTGAGCACAGTAAGTTAGCTAGTAGCCTTTATCGTGCCGACTCTGTTAAGCAGCAATGCGGGTAGAAGAATGGGGGCCGTTGCTCGGTCAGAAAAGGGGACAAGCGACGCGCAATCAGTAAACCTTACCGCCAACCTTTGATGCAGCCGCTGTTCTCGTCTGCCACATGAAGCGAAGGGACATTATGGTATTTATGCGACACTTATAGAACCATTTATCAGCGCCGACTTACTGCTGCTAGTCGGCGAGCCACCCAAACAAGTAAGCAACTACTAACGAAACGCATGGCCGAGTCGCTGACCGGTTATCTTGACCGCCCTAGCAGATGCTAAGGGTGGAGTCTGTAATTGTATCGCTTCGGGTGCACCTAGGTAACGAGTCTCGTGGGCAACGGCAACCTTTTGATAGGCCCTTAAGCCACTCGGTTTTTCGCCGTCCGATGTTGGGTCATAGTTGAGCGTACACTCTCCTTGCCAATCTATTCATAATACAGGCTGGAGGTCGGGAACAAGAAAGAAGTCAGTATTATGGCTGTTATAACCCTGATAACGCGGAAGAATGGGTAAAGCGAAGACAAAAGCAGAAAACGTCAGAGTAAGACATTGAGCGAGACTCGTCGAAATAAGGCAACGACGTCTACGCTCAAAGTAATGCTCGCCGTTCGAAAAAACGAATCTACAGTGTCTCTCGGCTGTCAGAAGTAAGAGTAGTCTCAAGTTGGTGCCCTTGACAACGCAAGCTATCCCCATTGTCGACGTCGTTTAATGGTACCATTTTCATTAATTGGATCTAGTCCGCTGCATATACGCGGCGGCGGAGACTAATGGCGAATGCGCTATAATCGCTACCCCCGCCCCCTCCCCTCTGAACCAACACACAAGCAGTCGAAGGTAAAATATGCAGTATGGTTTTTTAACGGGATTAGGACGAAACGCATTCTGAATCTCACAACAATAGGCGACATCGACACATTCTAAAGACGGCGATGTGCACAGAAGTAGTCGTTTGCTTGTCGGCCTGCATTCAAATGTTACTCATTCTCCTTGCTGGTGACACCAACGGCCGTCCGAGAATATGCAGCAGCTGCCATTAGCGACGCGTTTGCCAGAAGGTGGCTCAAACTCCTAGTCTGCCTGGGTCGCTTCTATGCAAAAGGAGGGTCCAACTAGAGCGAAATGACTCGCTGATTGCACAGACGTTTCTCGACTCAGACTGACTCTTCAACAGCGACGTTCAACAGCACTGTAAGTACGTGGCACCCGCTGAAAGAGTGTTACCCTGCTGTATTGTGCTACCGGCTTTATCGGTAAACCTTCTGGAAAACTAGGCGCGTCCTACGCAGACTTTCACGGCTTGAGCTGTTTTTGTGTTGCAAAAAGCAGAATCATCTCTCACTTTTCAACGTATACCATAAAGATGGCTTTGGCAGCATGTAAACCGACGTTTTGCTGTGTAACATGTTCATCCAGGTGCGCAGTTGAAGTGGTAAATGAGAACTTAAGACCATGAGGGCGTTTGAGTTAAGTATGAGGAGGCAATATTGGGGTACTTACGGGATTGTGTTGCATCGCCGAAATATGCTGCAAGTAAAAGACCTACTAGCATTGAGGCTTGGAGCCGGGGCCACACTGTCGCTTTCGACATCCCGGTTCTCTTCCTCATATGGGCGCGTTCTCGTTTGAAAGACAGCTCTGAAAAGGTGATACAGAATATATAGGAACGATAATTGACAAACAGATGACAATAAATCGCTGTTCGGTTACTCAATGAGTCGATGGTCTTTTGTTTCTACTAACATGTATACTGTAACAGTGAGCTATTGAAGGAGAAGAATATATATATAGATCTATGTTTAGCATTATAAACAGACACAAAATAGGTTGATTTCATGTTTTAATACATCGAATCAATTTTTATTTGATTTCAGTAAAACAAACTTGAAACGATCTCTATACAGGAAAAGGTAGAAGTTTTTTGACAGTTTAGGAGTCTTCATTTTACGTTTGTTAAAGTAGCACCGAAGCAAAAAGAAGTAAAAATAATAATTAAGATGTTAAGTGGAGGCACTCTAACCGTTAGGTAACTTCTGCATACAGTCAGGAGACTTTGTTTAACTCTGCATATGTAGGAGTTGTAGATTTCTGCTTACCTTTTCCCTCCTCTTCGAGACCCCGCAGCCTACGAGTGCTGCGCCGCCATTGGCCCAGACTCCTGAAAGAGATAAAAAAAAAACCTTTATTAGCAAACTGCATAATATCTTTAACAGGAAGTTGTAACAGAGGAGCTGGGGGGGGGGGGGGGGGGGGCATTGTTGTTCCACATTGAAGGAGGCGTTGCGAGCTCATTCAAATACTTTCATGACTCGTTATCACCACTGCCCTAATCTCGGTTTGCGTATCATTTGTTTCAATCGGCCAATCTGTTCAGTTTATATATATGTGTTGACCTGTACGTCTGTTTTGTCTCTTTGTGCTATTGACGATCGTCCACCCGAGTGCACCCATCTAAATCTACAAGCTGCCGTTCTGATTGCAGAGCTACTTCGAACATGAACAGAATCCAAACGGTATACCATTTCCTTTGCCGTGCGAGGAGAAAGCTCACACTATCTGGTAACCCTGCGTTGCAGAGCACGTCTGAACACTGGGTTTCACCGACGTGTTATCTTTGACTAGCTAAGAGAGTTTCAAGGTAAAAGATGTTTAGCCATTACGTTGCGAGACGTGCACGTTACCTGAATAATGGATGCAAACGCTTCTTGAACACTTATCCATTGCTAGCTTTTATTGGACCTAGACATGACGACTCATTTTAAGAAAGCCATCACTATCTCTTATAGATTATAATGATTGTTTTTGTATATTTTGTAGGGTTACCGCTAAATTTAAGGAATTTTTTTTTATTTAAGGAAGTATTTGGCTACAAAAAAAGGAAACGAAGGTATATCCTTTAAACAGATAGTTTATCAATTGTAAACTCACATTTTATGTCTGAATCTATGGATGCAGATTTACCGTTTACCTGTCTCTATTTATATAATAAGAATTTTCGACCTTTTTTTTTTGAAGAATCTTGTTATTGAAATTGTTACGCGGTTCGATGTCGAAATTGTTTAACAAGAGATTTGTGCTGATCATTGGCAACCTTCAAGCATCTTTTAAAGATTTCATATTATTTTGGCATTCAAGGAACCGTTAATTATCAATAGAGCACCTAAACCTGTGTCAGACTACCAAACCTGCGCTAATCTGTCGATACGAGAAGATAAAGCAACATAGCAATCATAAATGGAATAGGGTGCGTGCCACGTTGGGACTGACTGCAGGTTATAGGGTAATCTGATTGGTGCCGAGGGGAAGACCGCGCTCAGAAAAGAGGCATCAAGACCTATGCATCGAGCTGCTTTATTCTGACCACATTCGACCAGTTTTTTTTTGGCTATCGAAGAATCCCAGGTGAGCACCAAGATGAGGCGGGTAGCCCATGGGAGCTAACGCCATGACGTTTGTCGGCCGAGAGAATATGTGTTAAGCTTTGACAAGAAATTCAAATCGAAGCAATTTATTTGACTAGGCTCGCTGGCCGCTTGACTGGTTTGCTGTGCCTTCGTGCGAACTGCAGCTTCTTCCTAATGACATGACAGAAGCCATGCCGCACCCCGTCTTTGGCCCTATCTACCTTTCGTCTTGGGACACCAAATAGCCCCACTTGGGGGCCGTCGTCACTGCCGCCACCATCGTCAGCACAGCCCTGACAGTACCCATTGGTAACGCTTCTTGTTCGACGGGAACCGTCGCTCTGTTCGATTCGTTCGTCTATTTCCAGTCAACGGCCGCATGGTTTGAGGTAAACCGGGAGTTTGCAGGGGGCGATAGCTGAAAAAAGACCCCTTCGCAACATTTCCAGCCAGCAGCCGTAAGTAGACCAAATAGCGGCTAGAATAATAGTGAGCTAGCTTGGGTCGTTTACTAGCTTACTGTGTCTAAATGAGGAAAAAGTGCGGAGAAAAGGTGGGCGTTCCCGCGTCACCTTCACTTCGTCCCATAGTATCCAGCACTGTCTCCTACCAGTCTTCGCTTTTCTTGACAACGAGAAGGCTATTGCGCGAAAGCTGAATCCAAGATTGCCGAAACTCAACGCTGTTAGCTAACATGGCCAGAGCCAGTGGAGCCTTCAGACCTCAATTGCTTCCCAGTCGGAGTCTCTAGCTGCGTTCGACAACGCTATAGAAATAGAACGAACACAAGCGAAGCTTTAGTGCGTCATGCTTATCATGCAACGTCGTCAAATTCTTAGCAGCAAAACGTTACCACTCTTGCCAGCACTCCCACCATTGAAAATAGCTGGTGCCGCCGTCGTCCCCGCTCGAGTTTGCTGTTGACCATTGTTCGGAACAAGCGAACAGGCAGCGACAAACGAACGAGCTAAACCACTGTTGAACTAAATAATGCTAAACGTCGTTCTGGAAGAAAGAAGGTTAAAAGCTGCGACAGCGTAACTGTAGCAAACGCCGGGGGCTAACGTTGCCCAGCCACCATATAGAATAGGACAGGGCAACGCAACTACACTTACACTCACAAACTGACACCCACGTGACACCATAGACATATATAGAAGAGGAGTGGCAGTCATAATCATAGCAGTAGTATTTGTACCAACAGATTCGTACTGTCATATGATACAGCTAGCGCGTACGACAGTCAAAAAATTGGAACTAGGAAAAATAGAGCCGAAAAAACGCCACGAAATAGCGGATTCGAGAACAATTTTATGGCAATTAAATGTAAATTGCGCCAGCAATGTCCGGATCAGATCCACGTTAGCGGGTAGAGCTACAGGAGACTAGTGAATCGAGTGTGCTCCTTGTGTCCTGCGTTCAAAGCGACCTTTCCCATATCCTTTACCGATGCTGCCGTTTCGTTTAGATCGACACATGCCCTTACCCGCGAGCAGAACTCGAATTTAGCCGATTTAGTCGGCGTTCGATAGGCTGACTTGTGCTACGGATTCCGCGTCCTCAGCAAAGGCCTAGTAATGGTGGAAACGATGGTAGATTGAAGGTCGAGCGAGCGAGCAAAAAGGTGTTTTTTTTTCGCCGTTTCCATCGACCGGATATTGAAGCGTGCTACTGCTGTTACTACAGTCAAGAGGCGGTGGAGGTACGGGGATACGGTAAGTCATCAGACCATCAGGCCACTACGACCAAATCTGCCATCTTGTCCGTCGCTTCCCGAGGGTTTTTTGGCTGACCGAGGCTAAGAAATGCGACGCCCTAACAAGTAGAGGCGACAGAAGCCGGAAGGGGCAGAGATTCTCAAGGAGATTTATACCGACGGCAGTGGGTTACGTTACGATGGCAGTCGGCTGAGCGACCTGTCTGGCCTGAACAGTCCGAATCCCTCTGATCCCGCCGTTCCGTTGTCCCGCTGGTTCTCCACTCGAGCCTTTTGCCGCAAAGGTTCTGCTTGCCTTCCACGTTCAGCACCAGACCGGGTCTCTTGGCGCTTCAATGGTTTTACGGCACCAACACAACCACAGCCTTTTGCAGCCTTGTTCGAGGCCACGGAATAATAAATAAGACCCCGCTTAACCCCATTTTTTCTCCGTTTTGCCCCTCCCCTTCCACGCGCCTACTCCTGACATTCTGTCTTCTCTCAAAACTTACTAGGGGCGGACGTGGTCGCTATGACAGACGAAAGAGACGGGACGCTACTGACTAGACTGGATGCCGCTAGTCTACGCGGTGCGGCGTGTCTTACTGCCGGACGCGTATCCTAGAAACGCTGTGTGTTAGTCTGCCGGCATCGAAGTAACGGCGACGCGAATGAGGAGTTTGAGTGTTGGGTTTCAAGCGGGTTGAGGATGGCCAGACCTTGGAGACGAATTGAAAATGAGAGGGAGCTACTTCGCTCTGGCCAACTCATAGAGAAAAGTAGCCTGTGCCAGGCGGAGTGGCAACTGCTAAGCCTTTCAGCCGAGAGGAGTCCAAGAGTTAGTACCGATCCATCTTACAACCGCGCTGCAACTTCTGCAGCCTCTACTGTCAAATCTGGCGACGCCCTGTTTAGGATGTCTGACTCCTGCGAGCAGCGCTTTGCACCTCGGTTGTAACTGCATTCGTTGTTACATATTATATTGCAACCACTGCTGAAACATCACTTCGTCACCTGGTGCAAGTAGAGAAATCTTGCAGTTTCTTGTAAGAACGTCCCCGGAGCAGCGACACCGTCGACGCCGCGTTTGTCTACCTCCAGTTCTTACGGACGAGAAGCCTCTCGTTCTATAGTATAAATCGTCTGCAGTCGCAGCTAGTGTGCGTGTAATTGCGCGAGTTCGACTCCCACCTACAGTTTTGCCGCAGTTACCGCAGTCTCAATTTCGGCAACCATCCGCGCGTCCCGTCGACGGTTTCGCGGTGTATAGGGAATCGGCAAATCATGGCCTAAACGCCGGTCGGCTTCAGCAATCTAACAACTTTGACGGTCGTTCTGCTCGAGTGATGCTTCCGTGACTATCAAGAAACACCAATCTCGCTGCGTTTACTTCCAGCCTCCGATCCCTAACTTTGTGCATGATGAGAAACTGTGTGTAAATGTATGGGCAAGGTCGCGTAGAAAAGTTTCTGTTATCAACAAGCGCTAACCTTTCCTGCTATATTCAAGCGGCCGATAAGCAAATAGCAAACGTACGAGGATAACTGGTTGAGCGGTCGATGGTAACCAGCTAGATCTCTTAAAGGCAATAGGTTTGGCAGCTTGCCTTGCTTATGTGCTATGCGAAATGGGGTAAAGGCGTTAAAAATGGGCTTCCAATGGAAAAGAGGAACAGGGAAGGGCATTTAAAGACCATTATAGAATAATCGCTTTTCAACGAGAAGAGGCGAGCCGCTAAGGCCAGCGGACGGAGAGCAGGCCTAGCGGCGGTTGTGGTCGAGGATGAAGGGTATATGGTAGTGTGTACTGGTAATGCGGGGTGGTCGAGTGTTCAAGGAGCGTCTTTTCAGTTAAGCAGCAAGGAAAGCCAGGCTGGCAGTGGTTAGGCCGGAAGACAAGCTCTTCGAAGGGACTAAGCTTCGCGGCAGCCATCAAGTAGTGGCCTGCCAGCCAGCTAGCGCAAGTAGCAGCGGTCTCGAAGCTCAACGCAGGACAGACTGATCTTAGCCAGAAGCCAGGCAGTCTTTGAGAGGCAGCTCTCTCGTGTCTTTGAGTTAG